TAGATGCCGATCTTCCTACGATGAGGTTAAAGACCTTCTTATTTATCTGTTTGGCGAAGCGAGTTTCCTTGAGGCGTGTAAAATATATCGCGTTAATTTCCGTTATTTCTAGGCGAGATTGTGCAAAAACCGTCCTGGGGAAAAGATCAACCAAATAATTATAACGGCGAGCAAAATTGCGTAGTGCTGGACGGTGGTCGTAGCTGGCTGTGGAATGACGTTGGCTGTAACCTTGACTATTTGCATTGGATATGCCAAAGCAGTGAGTAGTAATTGATACGTAGATATACATAAACATATACACATAAACATGGAAAACTACACAATTAATTCGGTCGAACATTTAAAGGAGAGTACGATGGAAATATGTAATCCATGTACAAGTATTTCGGTTATAAATTGCAATGCATATATAAATAAATAAATAAATATATTTCTATTTACTTATCCAGGGCCACCTACTTGCGGTAGTCCAGAAAAGTTCGAAAACACGACAATTATAGGCACCAAACGAACCATAGGATCAACGATAGAATACGTTTGTCCCGATGGATATATGCTAATAGGATCGAAGAGTAGAACCTGTCAACCAAATGGATTTTGGAGTGGCGAACCGGCCATGTGCAAATGTAAGTTTAATCGCACGCGTGTCGCTACGCGCGTTGCATAATTGCTCGGATAATAATGATGCAGCTGGTGATCGGTAACCATCTTGCGTATACTCAACGTCATCTTTTAAATGCTTCATAGTTGTCGACTGCGGCCCCCTGCCTGAACTGGAAAACGGCGCGATCACGTTGGTCAATAAAAGAACGACTCACGGAGCGCTTGCTGATTACGCATGTAAAGAAAACTACACGTTGCTCGGTGATGCGAGGCGTAGATGCGGAGACGGCGGTATATGGAGTGGACATCAACCTCAGTGTTTATGTGCGAGATCAATTTTACAGTGATATTATGATAAATCGTAGCCACACATCTACATAATTTAGATTATCGTTTATTACTTTGCAGTTGACTGGTGTCCGGAACCACCTCAAATTAACGGCGGAGTTGTGACAACTACCGGAAAGAGAGCAGGCTCGACAGCCACTTATTCTTGCCAAAATGGCTTCATTCTATTCGGAGATAACGTAAGCAACTTTAAATACAATTTAGACTTTTAACTTTGCGCATAATTTGTCCTACTTGCTTTTCTCTCATTTATTATGCTCGCTGCGTACAACCATTTCGAACGTATATTCTATTATGTATGTCTTTCACCGCGATTACAACGCTATTATTTAGAAGATTTGCGAAAGATTTGCGCAAGCTGTTTATTTAAGCGATTACACTGCGAAGAGAATAGAATATTAAACATCGATAATCAATTTCGAAAGGTTCTCACGTGCGACGTCGGCGGTGAATGGTCAGGTAAAGCGCCTCAATGCAGATTCGTCGATTGTGGAGCACCGGCGCAAATTGAGTTCGGTTCCGTGACCCTAATTAATGGCACCACCACGGTTAAGAGTTTGGCCGCGTATACTTGTCTGGAAGATTACTGGTTGGTTGGTGAAGCGAAGCAAGAATGCACCAAAGAAGGGAAATGGAGTCACGACACGCCGTCGTGCGAATGTAAACAAATTAAATCTTTTCTCAAAACGCATACGACATTAAACGATATAAAACGACAGGTAACTTGAGAGTCTCGATTATTTCGATTGATACAGTAATCACCTGCGAAGAACCTGAAGTACCGGCTGGAAGCTACGTCGTCGGATACGATTTAAATGTTCACAGTGGTATTGAATACCATTGCGAAGCAGGATACTTACTTCAAGGAGAAACAAGACATACTTGTGGCAGAGACGGTGAATGGTCGGGAGAAGTACCGACCTGCGAGTGTAAGTTTCACCGTTGTTAAATTTGTTAAGAATTCCCTTCAAAGGAATCTCGATTTCTTTGGATTAATTCCGCGGCGATAAAAGTCTCTGATGACAATCTCCTCGACTTTCTGTTTCGTAGATGTGGACTGCGGGAAAGTTTTGCCTGTCTTGAATGGTGCTGCAGAATACGTGAATGGGACGACTCATCTCGGAAGCGAAATCACCTACAGTTGCACGAGAAACTATAGGCTAAATGGAGTGTCAAGAAGATACTGCTTAGACAACGGGCAATGGAGCGACGCGACTCCAAAGTGTGAAGGTGCTTGCACGTTTTATTTAAACACAGTTTAAAGTTTATTTCACATTTCAATAAGGATAATGTCTCTTTCCTCTTTCTCGCAGAAATTCGCTGCCCGGAGCCGATTTACGCAGAGCATGGAATTCTTTCTGTGACTGGCAATGATCGAATGTACGGTAGAACTCTAATTCGGACAGGAACTCCGGAGAATTCTAATACCGGTGCGACTTCCTACAAGATCGGTGCACTTGCAAAATATCGTTGTGAGAGAGGGTACAAGGTGGTCGGGGAACCTCTATCTACTTGCGAGGACAACGGAAAATGGAGCGGCGAGGTTCCGCGATGTGTCTGTAAGGAACTTAAAAAATTGTAGCGTTTAAACCGTTGCGAAATATTCAGTTTCAATAAAAACATCTTTCAGATGTCGATTGTGGGAAACCGGAACACATTCAACATGGAAGATATACTTTAACGTCGAACGCTACCTATTATGGAGCTGCTGCTCTTTACGAGTGTGACGGTAACTTTGAATTGGATGGATTTGCTAGGAGACTGTGTCTCGAGAATGGCACCTGGAGCAGCGACACCCCAGTTTGTAAGGGTAATCGTCTAGATTAGAATTTAATTTCAAATTATAAATGCTGTTTTAAAAAAGTCTTATACGAGGTAATTCCTGTATAGTAGAAAATGTGATGCGTGCTTATTGTAAACTGTATCAACGAATGTGATACATATCTTTTGAAATGTTCAGTAAATATTTTTTACGTTACATTCATTTGCACTTTGTACACACAGAAATTAGGTGCAAAGACCCCGAAAAAGAGGGAGTGTTATCCACGCAAGTTTCGACTCACAGCGTAGGTGGAGTGGCTCATTACAGTTGTCCGCGTGGATTCTACATGGAAGGGAACGAAACTAGAATATGCTTGCAGAATGGATCCTGGAGTGGAAGCACGCCAGCCTGTTTTTGTAATTATACATATCGTTTTAATCTTCTTTAAGTACCTTTAAATTAGTCAACTAGAATACATTAGTACATTAAAATACAAATCTGTATTTATAGCGGTCGATTGCAAACATCCGGAACCTATAGAAAATGGTAGAGTGATAGTGGTAAACGGGAGTACTACTTATGGTGGAACTGCAGAATATCACTGTTTACCACAGTACGAAAGAGTGGGGCCGTTTTTAAGAAAATGTTTAGATACTGGCTCATGGAGTGGAGAGGAACCTAAATGCGAATGTAAGAAATAGATTCAGAGATATATTGAAAAGAGGAAAAGGGAAATGCATTTTTACTCATAAATATTCCTTATTCGATAGTTATGCCAAATGAGGTAGCTGAAGCACAAGGCGTGGGTACTAGCGTTGGTATTGGAGCTGGAGTTATAATATTTATATTAATTATTCTTGGACTCGTCTATCTAAGACTGTACGTAGAATTTACGAGAACGTTGACGATTAATCTTTAAATAAACAGTTTGCTAAAATGACGTATCTTTTTAGGAGGAAAGCTACGCCGGTAAAGAACACGGAAAATGTTCAAGCGGCTGAAAGAAAAGAGGACCAAAATGCCGCTGTTATGTCTTATGCCACTCTTAACGATGGCACAACCAACACCATGTACGAAAATGTTCCAGAGGACGGTCTCTACGACAGTCCTTACAGTCTAAGTGGCAGTACATACGGGTGAGTCGAAACAAGTATTTCTTTTAGGAATTTGTCTCGTAGAAAAAAGAAAAGATGATAAATTGTTTTCATTCAGGTACGGTACCAATATGAGAAGACATTACGGTAGATCGGGACATTATGAAGCAGAACCAGTTTCAAACAGGAACGGCATTACAATTAATGGAGTATCCGTGCGATAGTTTGAAATACGACGATTAGAACCGAGTGTGTTTCTTAAAGTCAGGTATTATTTATGTACAATGTACAGATAGGAGGATACAAATATGTGAAGCTTTGTTATCTTTATTTATATTATTGTATTCGGCGCATCGCCGATGTATGTAAATAAGTAAAGAGAAGTAACGTGATGATGAAGAAGTGTCTATGAAAAAAATACTTCGATCTTTTCCATACCAATGACGAAAGTGTGTAATATTAACGAACTTTATTACACTACTTCCACGATTCAATTTATGTATGTATTATTATGTATATAGCGTGTTCTCCTAATTTAGAATTACTTGTAAGTTTCAAGCGATGAATTTGTAACATAAATTCGTGTGTTCATTGGTTATGAAAATAAAGAAACCAATGCTCTCTTGTTTTATTTTATATTTTGTTATATCTTTACGGGAAGTACATACCAAAAATATAGTTATGACGTTTTTTTGTAAATAATTTCAATTCAACTCGATGCGTTTCAGTATCATTATTTATCACATATACTGTAAATATGATTACGAAATGAATGTCAACTACATGTATATATATCGGATTCTTTCATTGCCTTATAAGGTAATGATTTCACCGTCAACGATTTACTCCAACTAAGGTACCTGTAATGGCGTATCCTTTCGAGGATAAAGCAACGTTTTTAGTACACGCTATTAATTTATTACGTCGGTTCTATAAAATATTTAAATAAATTCGACCGTTTTCAAAACAATATCAAATAACACCCATTGTAATTTGCGAAGATAAAAATTAAGAATGATTATTATTCTTGTAATAGGAATTTTTATATGTGGAATTTGAAATAATTATATTCATTGCACTAACGGATTTTAAATATCGAAGAAAAATTCGGTCATCGTAATTCTCTTTCTTTTTTCGTTGCATGTGGCCTAATTTTTGGATGTCTAGAAAAGGCTCGTGTAATGGATAAATGATCCTTCACTAGATGGCGTTACTTGCCCGGGTGTGGTGAATAACCATAGAGTGACGCGTAACGTGAGTCACAGTGGTGCACGAGTATCTGTGCTGTACGCTTTTTGGAGTTCTTCTCGTTTCGAAGCTGCTATAAATCAGGTTGGTAGAAATTCGTTTGTGTGCTTTAACGTTTCAATGTGAAAACTTCCAATGGCTGATTTGCAGATATGAAAACAACCTGAAAAATACAAAATATTTGACAGCTATCCAACTTTGCTTATAAGAACGGCCATTGTTATTGTGTCGCTTCGAATGATATGCATACGTTTTTTGTCAATTTCTGTAACTTAAGGAAGTTATTTTTATATCTTTTGTCCTTTAAAAACAATGATATTCTTTGTATAGCAATTTTATAAGAGTTCCAATTATAACCAATAAATGTTTATGAAAAGTCAAATATAGCCTGTTCGAATATAGCTGAGCGAAAATTCTGAAACAAAGAGTAACAAAATAGAAATTGTAGCATGATATTTCATTGAAGAAAACTTAACAATGTAAGCGTATTGAAAAGAGCTGAAAACGTAAAGCGTAATATTACTTTACAAATAATATCTATCCAAACGAGTGTGCAGCAGATTTTACTGTCCCAATTTTGTTATTTAAATTATAGTTTAAAATTCAAATTGAACTGTATGACGGATATGTACTTTTATATAGATTTCTATAGATGTAGAGTGTAATGTCCTCTTTGTTGAACCGTCACGTAGACGATCTTATTTTTATCCTGATTTTGGTTACGTCGTGATATCCTAAATTAATTGTCTAAAAATAAATAGTAGCTCAATAAAGACTATCCTTTAGATAGGTCTAGTGGCTATTATCTTTTTTTTAACACTGTTCTAATTCAACATGAGGAACTAACTGACAGTCAAATTTACATAACCTCTACTCCCTTTGCGATACTATCTCTATGAATTAAGCAATTTATAAAAATACAGCAAATAATAACTAATACATACTTACAAAAAATATGAATTAAATGATGTAATTGTCTTTTTTATTCATAATTTTAGGAATACAAACATGTCTTCGCGTAAAACAGCCGGACGCCGTGCAACAACCAAAAAGCGTGCACAACGCGCAACATCAAACGTCTTCGCGATGTTTGATCAAGCTCAAATCGCTGAATTTAAGGAAGCTTTCAATATGATCGACCAAAATCACGATGGTTTCATCGATAAAGAAGACCTTCACGACATGCTTGCCTCGTTAGGTAAGACGCTAAGCAAGTACTTATCGTATCGCGAAGATTTTTTAAATTTTACAATGTAATTGATTTTAATTTCAGGTAAAAATCCTACTGACGAATACTTGGAGGGAATGATGAATGAGGCTCCAGGACCTATCAATTTTACAATGTTTTTAACTTTATTCGGCGAAAGACTTCAAGGCACAGATCCGGAAGATGTAATTAAGAATGCCTTTGGTTGTTTCGACGAAGAAAATACTGGACACATAAACGAAGAACGTCTTCGAGAATTACTCACTACAATGGGAGACAGGTAATTTTTATTTCTGCATGTAGTATGCCTTATTATTCTACTGAAATGAGTAAGAAATTTATCGTTCATTTTTTGTGTATCTAGATTTACGGATGACGACGTGGACGAAATGTATCGAGAAGCACCTATCAAAGGATCGATGTTCGACTATATAGAATTTACCCGAATTTTAAAACACGGTGCTAAAGACAAGGATGAACAGTGAAAGATTTGAAATATCCCGTTCTTTATATCTGTTTGATTGAGCGTGTAACACTTTTTAATATGGTTGAAATTGTAAAGTTTCAAATATCACTTGTATTTTATATATCCTCTATTAATGAGAACAACTGAAAATCTAGGATTTATATTATTTGTCGAACAACTGCCTTATCTCTAGGTCCTAAATGTACAAGTCCCAAAACACGTGAACATTTGTCATATTCATTTCAAATCAAAATGTTCATATATACAACCTACGCGAACGGAGATAAAGAACAGAAAAATTAATTCACATCTTAATACGAACTACAATCACTGTAAAATCGATAGAAAAAATTCGATATGTAATATATATTATATACTACATTAACATATAGTTGTTAAAGAGTTGGTATTTATATTTTAATATAATAATGAATTATACATTAAAAACATGACGTTTATCTTTACATCCACTCTATTTGACTTTCATATCCAGCGAAAATAAACAATAACATTTAATATTTAAGATACTACAACTGAACACAATTCGATACAAGACAGAAGAATAGAAATTTAAATAGAAACAGACAACTGCACAAGAAACGTAAAAAAAATTATCTACTTCTATTAATAGACAAGATAGGAAAAAATAAACATTGACAAAGTATTTGACCTTTTGTTCGAATTGACGCGAGACAAAGATATTTTAAAAGTTCAATCAACTTTATTTTATGCGACAAATGAATAATAGAAACCTTTCGAAGACAGGAATGCGAGAAATAAAAAATCATGCATCGATGTATTCGTGACGACTGTAAAGGAAAAGTAAAATTGACGAGAAGGATTTCGGTAGATGACAGGCGCGATTATTCCGCGTCTGCGCATTGGTGTTTATGTACAGTATATACGGAATGAAGTCTCAGGAAGCCGCAGTATCATTTCCACTGGTGCGAGTGCGGGTTTCGCTTCGTCTCTTGGTTTCGTCTTCCCTACCGCTCGCGTTGGCCTTTCCTGTCGCGTCTTTGCTCAGTGGTTGTTCCATTGAAGTAAATACCTAGACGAAATTTACTGGATCCGCGGTGGTTGACAGTGTAGTCGGGGAGGCATCGGCTTTTGCCGATCTCCTCGCGAAAAGGACTGAATTAATCGTCCGATCATTCACTAACTGTATAACGCAGAGTGTTTACTGTTTGGTGAATGTAGAGTGATTCGCGGTGTGTCTCGTGTATCGTAGTTCGCCCCTGTGAGTGAATGTCCTGAAATCGAAGCAGCAACAAGAGAGATGAGACGAGAGACAGAAGCAGAAGCTGAAGCTGCCAGCCGCGAATTGGGTTACGTCCCGTTCGCCTGGCAACGATATATGACGCAACGGCCACCCTTCGTTAGTATCCGCGATCCTCGTGATCTCTACGTGCCGCTTTAACTGCAACAGGACTTTGAGTTTCACTGGCAAGACACGCGAAAAGGAAACGCCAACTGCCTTCCATGCGATCAGTTATCCCCGCCCCGTTCACTCGATTGCGCAGCTAGTTTTGGAGGTTAGCCGATCACGATTAAGAAACTTGAACGAAAGCGACACCCACAGAGCCAGCCGGATCAGCTGTTTGCCCAGGACGACCTCTCCGACTACCCTCGGTGAGTCTGCTCCCTTCTCAAATAGTTATCCTTTCGTTATCACCTTAATCATCCGGATAATTGTTTTCTCACTCGTTTCGAATACGTATCGCGAATTCGAATTTCTCTGCGACACCATCGCTCATCGATCGTCGATTAAATCGAGCGTGAATCACTTCGATATTTCCTAGCTTCAACTAGATGTTCAACAGATATGCATAGAACGACGTGGGAACGTAATTCTTCTTCGTACTTCTTTCCTCCTTTGTCGCTGAGAAATTTTAATTTTAAATGACGCGAAATATTACTTTTAAAATAGAATAAGTATGGTATCTCAAATTAAACGTGATTGACTTCTGAGTGCGAATTTTCTCGTATTTTAACGCGAATAAAAAAAGACAATGTAGGTATAAACGGTGTCGCAATAAACATAAGAAGCACGTGACCGTGGATGAGAGCGCTGTCAAAAGGAAAAACTCGGTGTCTTCGCGCGTCTCATTATAAGGGGCTTCTTTATTTCGAAACGTTAATTTCCAAAAGACAATACTCAATGGTATTCTTTCGTGGCTCGGTACATCATCGGTAAAATACTGCAGCTTGAGAGCGATTGAGAATGGCAAACGGTGCGATGAGTTTTCTCAAACCACGTATAAAAACACAATAATACAGAACCGTGCGCGTTGCATATACTCGGTGTAATACGATCCAATGCTCGAACTGGTCATATCACTTTAATATTGCATAACGTGCTTCTACGACTGCATAAGAATATTAATACAAAAATGTAACGAGTCTTGAAATTGAACGAATTTAATTTGCCTCGTTCGACGACGACGAACTTTCACGAGCTAGTTTTATCGGTTCGGTTATTTTATATAATAAGGAAATAAAACTCGTATGCTCGCAACTTTGAAAAATTTACTTTGAAACAGTCGCTTTTAAAACGATCGACTATGAAATATTCGTCAACGATGTTTTAACACAAAAAATAGAAATACCAGATCGAAATACTATATTGTTTCGCGTGCCAAATGCGAAGCGAAAGTTTTAGCGCGCGTAATAAAAATATTACCGATGTGTGCGAGGTGCTACAAAATCGAGTCATAAAAATGATTGTTCTTGCTGAAATCAAGTGTCCATTGAAACGAATAGACATGAAAGCGGTATGATCAGGCTAATTACATACGAGTCAGGGACGTCTCTAATCCGCGGCCATGTTTTCGAACAGGTTGTTCCAGATACACTAGTAAGTAATACGTTAAATCTGTTACGCGATTTCACGTTCTGTGTCGCGAATCCCCGTTTCCTTTCGTGTCACCTTGTTCTTCTACGGTAGACACCTAAAGCCAACATCTGTTCGATACTGCTAATAGCTTTACAAAATTGATCACCTTGTTGCGTAACATTCTTCCAGGTTCGTTCGACCAGAACATAACCTAATTCATCGTGCTTAATACCCTATAAAACGGATTTGCAAATGTGCCTGTATATAATCATATAGAATTATTCTATCGAATCTCAAACGTATAATTATACGTATAATCAGGTATTTCGCAAAATCTAGTCAGCGACGTTGAATCGCAAAAATTGCAACTTTCAGAATTCACGGTGTTTGCCAGATCATAGTAGGAAACCTTACGCGATACAGTGTCACGTTTTTCCTACAGCCACGATTGTTATAAAACTATTCGATCGCCTGAGGTGTGTTCGCTTCGTTCGTACGTCAGGCATCGACGTTGATTAAACTTTTCGACCGATATTCGCAAATATCACGGTGTAGAGTCTCGATAGGAAACGCAGGGTCGACCCAAGTAAGCATTTACTCGCTGGCTATGTAGGCGAAATTGCAAGCGAAAAGATGAAAAGAATCGCTGGTTGATAGTATGGGTAAAGTTGTCGAATAGAAGCAATAGTATGTTGTAACTGTGTCAGTCTACACGCGAACAAACAACGAGGACCACTCGTCGAACATCCTCCTTGAGTGGAAGCCGGTCCAACGTGTTCCAAGATGAGCGGTAAATAAGTCTGGGATCGATGATGCTATTCGGTATGCTCTATCGGAACCGTCGATCGCCACCACACGACGTATAATTACGTTATCTATAAAAGTATGATCCTCGAGTGACGTATTTACTCATTCACCGGATACGATCTTTCGGTTCGTACAAAACTATCGCGGAGACGATGCTGGACTTGAATAATGATCATTGGTTAAATAATCATCTATCGCTTTTAAGTTGCTTCGTGCGTTTAAAGCGCTCACGATTTACGTTAGAGTTTAAGCCACACCGTTTTCATATCGTTGTTGGTTGCGGTGAAGCTGTAGGCGATTAGACGATCGCGTGCCATACTGTCCTTTGTATTTGTATCTGTTCGTTACCGAACTTCGTTATATATGGTTGGCAACTAAGTGATTGCGGATTTTGTCATTACTACCTAATGACTACTACCTAATTGATTACTACCTACCTAATCACTTAGTTGCCAACCCAATAGTTCTAATTGCGTAGCTGTGTGGACCACCGCGATTACGCGATCGTATACCGTGAAATCGAATTGATACATTTGCAAGGACAATCGACATTCCCATCGACGCTGTTTCCGCGTTTCTTTAGCTGCGAAGAAACAAACAGACGTGGCGATTATTGCGAAAACGATGGTCGCACGGTTACACGTGTAAACCTTCGAGATAGCCTGGCAGATGGTCGGCGTTAGTGCAGTTCGGTGTACATAAACGAACGTACATCTATAGATCTAAGCTAACATCTCTTAAACATCTTGAACGGACGTCTAGCAGTGATTTAATCTCGAGCCAAAATATCCGGGTCAGTCGCTGTACACAGCGAGTGGGTTAAAGTTTGCTGTGTCACGAGGACGTCTAGACAACATTAGGCGAACGCAAAAGATCGCAGCGGTCTGCCGGGCAGAAGCTCACCTCTCCCCCACCCCATATACGCACAGCGTATCTACAGCGTATATACCAGGATATCCTGGCATCGATGATTCCTCCCTATGAAGCGGCAGCCGTCGCCCGATGGCAATAAAACGTGGTGAGTTACTGGCCAGGAGGGTGCTCTCCGTTTCGATAACGAAAGCGGTTGGAAGGCAAGTTCGGCGGTAAGGGAGGATGGGAAAAGCGTAGTAGCTTCGAGTAGGACGAACGACGCCGATTCGAGCGGGGTTAGGTGTCACGACGCGCAGGCGTCGTATCGATTTCTTCCTTTGCCTTTGCTTTTGCCTTTGCCTTTGCATCCTCCTCTACCTCTTTGTCGCGTAAAACGGCCGACCTACCGCCCTACGAGCATTTCCTCTTCTATCAACAGACGATCACTATCGCGAGGGATGTTAATCTCCGCGGAATACACATCGGACATACCATCGACTGTAACGCAGCTACGCGAATTCTGCGATTCCCTGCCTCCGGCTATTTTATTTTTGCTCCACTCGCACAGATAACGACTACCGTAAATGGCTGGCCAGACGAAGCGAGACGGTTTCTGGCCTCATCCCTGGTTGCACCACTTTATGGTCCATCTCCTTTCCGTTCCTATCGTATTATACGCTTAAGCATACGATATATGTATATATATACACTTGTATAATTAAATTATCTCGATGGCTAATTGGAAACTGTAGGCGAAGTTAAATTTCTCTGAAGGCATTCGCGACGATATATCCTTCCGGTTCGTTAACCGGACGAATCGGGCTAGATTGGCTGTAAATCGTGCCGCACCTGTCCGTAGGCCGATCGGATACCGCTTTTCGAGGGTGCAGTGACAATGAAATTCGATAGTCTCGGATAACTCGTACCTATTGGATCGGTGCGTTCACGGGTC